TATCAGAATGAATTTCAATGGGCTCCTAGGTTCTGCGCGGGGTATTCGCCTTCCTTATATGTTGCTCTGGTTCTCGATGCTCAATGGGCGACATGACGCACGAGTAACTCATGATGAATCAACGGGCACCGAATACAGTGCGCGCACAAAGATTAGCGTGCCTTTGCGGCTCTGTCTTTGTGGAAGGCCTTGACCATGTTCAATGCAAGATGACTGGGAGCTTGCTGTGCTGGCCATCTTTCATTGGAAATAGAATGCACACTGCATCTTAATTAATTGATGCTCGCAGATGATGGGCGCTTGCATTGACAAGGTTATCTCCGACACGGGGTTCGTTGATCGACGCGGTTAAGGTGGGGGGAAAACATTGACGAATCAGTGAGGAATCCTCCGGTAGAATGAGTGGTCCAGCGATATATTGGTTGGCGTCTACTAATGCATCTCATTCCAGGGCTAAACAGCACGTGCGGTTGCCTCGTCTCTGCCTTGCGATGATCCATACAATTTCATTCGGGTGATGCGCGACAAGGCGGAAATGGTTGTGGAGGGGCTGCGGGATGCGAGCGAATGAAGTTGCAGCGTTGCTGCGCAGTCAGGGTATAAAATGTTTTAGGCAACCAAGGTGTTTCGAGGTGAGCGAATCTCATGCATCACTCTGCACGAGCCTGGAGTTTGCTATCAAGTTCATCCGCAAATAGTGAGGCTTCCTGATGCAATATCTGCTGCGCCGCAGTTTAAGCTGCTGCCATTCGCTGGGCTCTCGAACTTTATTTCTTCCGCGTTTTTATCAAAAATAATTCTTTACTTCGGTATGGAATTGGGACTGACATTTATCATTAGGTCGCTCGGAAGACCTTCGTGCGTAATGTGTGCAAACAGACTGTCGAGTGTCATCTCCTTAATGATCTTCCGTCTCTCTTTCCTCCTGCAAAGATTTTGAAATTTTCAGCTGACAAGATGGCACTTCTCGCTGCAGAGCCAGCAGTGACAGTGGCCCGTCGGCAGGAGCTTGAGAGGCTTGCCCAGTAAACTACGCAGCAGAAATGTTTCAGATTCATTTCTTATAAATTTGTTTTTAATGCCGACTGTGACCGTTTGTTGTGAAATTCTAGAGTAAAAAGTAGACAAGACTTTAAATCCAATTTAACATTATATATATGATATATCACGTTATATCATACTAGTAAGCACAAAGTCTGTACACATATATCTAGTAATTATGCCTACGATGGCCACAATGGTAATGTTCCCTCACATCGAAACTCAACTTCTGGGGTGTTTCCATCGCTGCGATATGACAATGGAATACGTTGGTCGACGGGAAAAATGGGAGTGGCCGCAGCCAAATTGATTTTAAAGTCGTCCTCAGCGTTTGAATTCGATGCTCTCTCTTCACAGCATTTCTTAGAAGAGCTTGCCCAAGTAGTGCCAAATTGGGTATCTCGCGCCCATTCCATAGCAAGGGTTGCTTGATGCCATCCTGCCTCAGTGAGTGACGACAGTCGGGATGGTAACGGTTTCAAGATAGCTTCTGCGGATCCATAGCGCCACCAAGTAATTGCGTGACCGAGCCGGGTGCGGATTATGTAGGTCTTGTCTGATTGAAGTCCGTTGGCGAGAATATGGAGCCTGAGGTCGTTTGAAGAGAAGCTTTCGCTGCCGGTGGAAATTTTGTCTTCTGTGTTAGAGTTAGGGAGAAGGATGTCATTCCTAAGGTACGTGGAGACAGAATGATATGTAACATCCAAATGCCAATGACCGAGATACTAAAAGTAGTGCATCATGCATGAAAGGGAAGATGGGTGACACATGATGAAATTAGAGAAGAGCCAAATATTTTTCAAAACAAAACAAACGAGCTGGAGATGTGAAATATAAGCGGACACTGACAAAATAAAGAAATCATGTTCATTTTGGATTTAAAGTAACAATGCATTTGACAAGGGCAGAGAATATGGGAGATCGTACCCCCGCCTTTGCTTATAGCATGTTCCACCACAAATGGCTGCTCAGGGAACAGTGTGATGAACCGATCCTTGTTCACCATCAGAGGGGCTGGTCGTCCTTGATCAGGACATATGTTTATCGTCGGTCGCGGAATGGATGCCACGATCTTCCCAGTGCTAGGATCCTTTTCACAAAATTCAAGACCATGATCATGAAGAGCGAAGGTGTAATCAAGAATCGTATCACTGGAGTAGATCGTGATAGGCTGTTTGGCGTGGAGGATGCATTGTACAATGATGGCAAAAGGAGTGCTACCCGAGAGATCGAGGACAGGAGAAGTGGTTGCAAGTGCGACCGACACGGCGGGGGAATTCATGCTATTCAGGACGAAGGATGATCAAATGTAATGGCTAATGTGTTGATGGTTATAATACCGCGAAAAGCAGAGGAACCACAACAACCAAGAATAAGGTGAAGGCGGTATCGATCGGGATAATGATGAAATTAAACTCACGTCGATTGCTCAGGTATAGTATCATACAGTCCAGCAACTTATCGCAAGATAAAAAAGAAATGAAGAGATTGTGGCGGATAGCAACGAGGAGAGTGTGGCCGCGCGGGCGTTGACCTTGGGGAAGTTTCAAATTCATGGCTGCCTGGTGGTGTGACTGCTGCCCGACTGTATGACCTCATCCGATTGCTTCTCCTCCACAGATTTGGCGGGATTGATGTATCATAATCCTTGGTATTTGCTACAGAGATGCATATCGAACTGGTAATTCTGCCTACATGTTCAGGATTTGTTTCCTGTTCTGCTTCGTCTGTAGCTATGGTACGGTTAGCTTGGTGCCCCGCAGTTAGGAGGCCTAAGTTTGAAGTGTAGGACGCCACAACGTCTGCTTGTTTCAGAACACAATCTATATGTTAATGCATGACTGTCAGGTAATTTCTCCTCTTTTTTCTTACTCAGGTCAACCAGGAGCTCCCGGTAAGAAGATCCACTTTTACGAGTTATAAATGTTTAATTGTGCCTGGTTCTTGCATCTCGGGCCACATTCCATACTTATATACAGCGATTTTTCTGCCATATATTTCTTTAGTGTCATTCTTACTATATAGCTTAGCTAGCAACATTAATATTTCCAACTTGATTGTATGTTCTGTAGAAATTATAGGATAGGGGAGAACCTTTGCCAGAAACCCTTGATTCTTGAACTTCTACGAAAGGAAATTTTTATCAAGCATATATGGAAGAGTTATCATGTTGTGTACTTCTAAAAGTTTTAGATTCATTATTCTTGGGGGTTGCCTTCTTTTTTAGTAAAAATAAATAAATAAATATCTAATTTATAGCCATGGAGTAACGCCAGGCCAGAGTTGCCAGCCTAAGACCTATGAATGGTAGAATCTGGCAAAAGAAATGTTTACTCTAAGCCTTATAGGAAACAGGATAAGCTTTTTAGAGTTTGAGTATAGCTAACTGCAGCCATTTTCATATGCCAAGAATCTTGTCGTTGCGCCACAGAATCATCACATGTACGTTTTGATGTTTTTTTCCTTGCAATAGACTCTAGAGTTTAAGACAAGCGCAATCAGAGTCCAATGAAACAAATTCACAAATACCTCTATGTCTATAGGATCAGGGAGCTTTTGACTTGTCCTTTTGCATCGGACGAGCACCATTCCGATGAGCACCCTCGCGACGGGCAAAGACGGTTGGAAGTCTCATTCATGTCTTTTTGGGCTGCGCTGCCTTTCCCATTGGCAATGGGTAGGTTACATGATTTCCCTAGACGCTCCTAGAAGTCCATCTACAATAGAACCGCTAACCGATAGATAGTAATATGACCATCAAGGACCGTGATGTTAGTCTCTTGAAGCGTGCGCTGTCAATATTTATCGATTTTGAAGATTATCCAGAGTTCCAGGCTAGGCTGCGGAAAGGGTAGGGTTGGGTAGGGTTTTGGCAATCATGGCCCACTTATAGGGCTACCCTACAGCAGGGTAGGGTCGAAGCTTTGAAGC